AATGCCGCTGTGGTATCTAGGTCAAAGTCTTCATCATCGCCCTCCTCAATAATGTCTTTCCACCGGATCTGCCGTAGTTCATCAATGGCCTCTTTGGACTTTGCAATAGACGTGAGCCAAGATTGATATCCCCTTAACATATTAGAAACCTCTCCATCACGGCCAAGGAGTCTATCAGCAATGGCTGATTTGAAGGCGTCAGCGCCATTTGAGTAATCGGAGACCATCAGTTCATGATCCCAAAGTGACTGAACGGTTACGTGGTCTGTATTGTCCCAGGCTGAGATCTTAGATGTGACATCCTGGCCAAAGTCTGTCAACGACCTTGCTTGATCAGATAAGATATCCATCAGACGGTTGTTAAAGATCCCTCGAACGCCTTCTAACACTTGAAGGGATGAATGTGTGATTGTCGAGGTCCAGGAGCGCAGCCAGAATTCCAAGGCCTTTTCTCGAAGCGAAAGTAAGTTTGTGAAGTCTAGCCAGCTTTTCAAGTTCTTCTGACATCCTTGGACAAATTTCTCAAAGGCTTGTCTCGACCATTTTTTCAGTGTTTTCTCAACTTCAGACTTGGACAGCTCGCTCAGTTTGATCCAAGGTGTGAAGTTACTCACGTCAGGTGGCACCCAGCGCCCCAAAACATCAAGGTTCAGGTCGTCAAGATTGTGAATTTCCGGATCAGTCAGGATAGGGCGTGCTTTCAACTTGCCAAGAACATCCGATAGACGACGGGAAAGTAAGATCTTAGATATTTGAAGTGTACTAACGTATAGTCCCAAGGCCTTCAGAATGTTTCCTCCTGACGGGTCATCAAGCCCTAGCTGGCTCTCAATGACCTCCTCTCGTACCCTATGAAAGTGACGAATAGCATCTTCGGAGGAGGAGCTCGTAGCTAGGCAGTAAGAAGCTAAGACCTCAATGATATCATCCGCTGTTGATGAATCTGAGGCTAGGCACTTGTTGACTCTTCTCAAAAGGGTTTGCCTCAGTGAAGCAATCTGATTCCGTAGGCTTTCAAGAAATGGCGGAACGGTCTTTTGCTGAGACAGTGCTTTATGCAGGAGTCGAGACACAACCACAAGCTTGGCTCCTAGAAGAAGAGAATCACGCCTCCTCAATAAACGAGATATAGCCGTCTCACAGCGGTGAAGCAAAGCAAGCTGGGCTCCAACGGCTCGTTTGGTTGCGCCTAAAACCTGATCAGCTCCCGAGCATGTGGAGGCCCAAGTACGCGGTAATCTGTACCTTTGTCGTGAATATCTCCCTTGATTTGACTGAAATGTGTAACTTTCTTCTCCATTAATCGTGGGTTGCATCTTCGGCCGACATCTGCCAGGGTCGCATCCACCTCCTGCATCTCGCGGTTCATCGATACGATCGTTTCGGCCGTTCCAACAAGCTCTCGATATCTCGTCCTGGATACGCGCGCAGAATTAGCTTGGAATACGATCTGATTGGCATTTGCAGTCATACCCAACAAGAGCTCGGAGCTTCTCCTTATTGCTGGCGATGTCCCGGCGGAGCTCCTGTTCCACACGGCGCACAGTAGGAATTGGATACTGGAATGCATCCTGCCATGACTTCAAGCTCTGTGGATCTGGGCCGTCTGACGCCATTATGGAATAGGAAACAGGTGGAAGGCGAGAGTGGCCAACGGAGCGGAATGCTGCCACTTCGTCTTGCTACACAGGCAGTAATGACGCTTACGGTGTGTGCCTGAGGCAGCACGTGGCAGGAGGATACAGTGACCTGCAATGTATCTCTGGAACAGCCAATCCAAATCTACACCGCCTACCTAAAGTAGGTCTAGTCCTACGGTCTGGTACCTGAACAAAGGCGGTATGTAAAAAGCATGGACCCTGTGAGAGAGTATTCCAGAAATTCACTGCGTGGAGCTGTAAAGTACTGTCATTTCGGTACTGACCATACCGCAAGAGGCAAGTGATTTGACTCATCCTGCGAAATAAAACCCCGCGGAATGACTTCCCTATCATTTTCTGCCCCCCACTTCTAGACACATTTTTGAACATCTTGAAGATCACAACAGCTGCAGATATAATGCCTCACTCTGACACTGAGGTGCCGCCTTCGGCGGAGGCCTCAACAGACCTGCCTCAACGACTCCCCTTTCCTCCAGTCACTCACTCTCACATCTTGCACTGTTCTTATCATGACTGGCAACCTCGGTATGTTTTTCTACTCGTACATTACACACTGTACTCATAGGATTCTCCCAGCTACCGTGCGCTCACACCCAAATCGCGTCTTATCCCGTTGACACTTCCTTTCATCTCCTATCTCCGCGCAGACGGTATCGTATTGCCTCCCGAAAATGCCACACCCACAGACGACGACAACCTAGACACGTATTCCGATGACGAGGCCGACGAACAGCCAGACCCATCGACCGAATGGGAAGAAATCCACACCCAGATCAAGACGACAATCTCCGAGCTTGGAGGTATCATTACCCCGAAGTTGAATTGGAGTGCCCCCAAGGATGCAACCTGGATGGCCGCGACAAACGATATGCAATGCCGCACACCAAACGACATCTACCTGCTGTTGAAAAGCAGTGACTTTATCAGTCATGACCTGGAGCTTCCCTTTGACGATTGCGTCCCAGATACGCTAGATTCGACCACCACTCCCGACGTTCCATACCATCTCGTGCTTCGCAAATACGTCAACTTCAATCCGTCCCTTGAGTTTCGGTGCTTCGTGCGCGATCGCGTGCTTCTCTGTATTTGTCAGCGGGACCAAAACCACTTTGACTTCCTCTTCCCTTTGCGCGAGACCCTCCGATCCCGAATTCAAGCATTCTTCGATGAGAAACTTAAGGATACGTTCCCTGATCCTAGCTTTGTCTTCGATGTGTACATTCCTCCTCCACATCAGCGTGTTTGGCTCATCGACATCAATCCTTGGGCTGTGAGGACCGATCCGTTGTTGTTCAGCTGGCTTGAGATCTTGAACATGAAAGACCCAATCGGAATCCAGGAAGAGGACGGCGCCGAAGAGCAGTTCGTCCGACTATCGCTCAATGGGAACACTGTCACTGATGTAGTGGGAGCTGCTGAAGGATCTGAATCGTCTGATACGGAGGATGAGGCCGCCGATGAGGTGGACGAGGACTCTCCCTTCTTCCCCGAGTTCCGTCTCGTGAAGCATGATGATCCGGAAGCCTATGCGTTTACCACACCACAGTACTCGGCACACAAATTGCCCAAGGAGGTGGTCGATGCCTCGATTTCCGGACCAGGTGGTATGAGTGAGTTCTTGGGCAAATGGCAAGATATTCTAGCCAAGCAGGCACAAGAGTCGGATACAGATAGTGATCGTGGACAATGACAGGCTTCTCAGCTTTATTGCAACGGAGTATTCGGGGATTAGACGGCGTTTATGAACTAACGGATAAGGAAAAACAATGGGGATTGTGTTCTTCTAACACACAAACAATTATTCCACAGAATAGAAAAAAGGGTTTTGCCTACTGGTAACCAAGGAAACCTACTTCCACTGTAGTCAAACATACCATTCAATAACGTATGACATGTTCTTAATCTAGAAAAGCATATCTACGTATCCCTGACCCGTATTTACAGAATCCGACAAACGTCTCAATTCAGCCACAAACATCACGTCCACTACAGCTTATGTTTCTTCTCCCCCGAAGCCAGCCGCCTAAACTCCTCCTGTGGGATACCTTTCAGGAACCTCTGCAACCCAGCAAACACCTCAAGGTAGTTCTGGCGGTCCAGAATCTCCCGCTCCGGCCTGCGGATCAACTCCTTAATGCCCAGGAGACTAGATTGGCTCAGGTGAGTACCAAGACGATCCTCAACCTCCTCGAGGACCTTCTGCAGGAAACCATCCGAATCGTCCTTCCTGCCCGACGGCGCCTCGATAACCTTGTTCACGAACCCAGTCGCCACAAGCTCCTCACAGGTGATCTTCTTGCTCATGATGAGCGCCTCGTTCGCCTTGGAGATGCCAAGACGCTCGACCAGAGCGCGCGAAGAGCCACCCTCAGCGACAAGACCAAGGGACGAGAACGGGGTGAGCAGGAAGGTGTGCGGCGTGGCGTAGATGAAGTCGGCCATGGCGATCAGGGCGGCGGAAAGACCGACTGCAGGGCCGTTGAGAGCAGCGACCAGGATCTTGGAGTGGTGGGCCACGGTGTTCGTGATGTCGAGGTTATTGACGACGAAGGATCGCGTGAGCTCGCGACGGACACTGCTGCTCAGGTCGCCGGATGGCCGGGTCGAGGTAACATCTGCGCCGCTAGATTGTGTTAGATCAATTGGGTCCTGGCTTGCGCTATGCAGGACATGGGTGCTTACGCGGAGAAAAATCGCCCTTTGCCGGTTAGAATGGTGATGAAGATATCCTCGCGCTTGTCGATTTCCCGGAGACGTTCCCCGAGAAGGTAATACAGGTCTTGGTTGAGAGCATTGAGCTTCTCCGGCCTGTTGAATGTGATGATCGCAATCCGATCTTGGTAAGTGACTGTGACGAGGTCTTCGTTTGACATTGCGTCTATAGCTGGCTGAAAGATTATATGGGGAGTCAATAGTAGAAAGTGGATTAGAACTAGATTTAGTAGTTTGGGTCAAGAGAGAATATTCGATGAGCTAAGTTGACGATCGAGTGGAGGTGGCTTCTTTATTAGCTTCTAATTATATGTCTAATAGATGTCAGATAAACAATGAATGTGAGGGGGCATTCCACTCGGCACGGAAGTAGTAATCCATGAGCAATGCCCCGGCAGTCGATACCCCTGCCAACTCAGCGGGTATACTATTACCGGCGCTCATAATTGCGGGGAGGCCGAGGAGCCGGCGCCATGCAGCAGCCGAGGCATATTAACTGGTCAGGTGACTCAGGTCAGGTGAACGGCACGTGGTAAGTTTGTCTCGTTTGCATAGTTGATCATCGGCAAGCCGGAGGCTCTGTAATGCATATCGTATGTTCGGTCATTCGTTGTTGGTCCATGGTTAATCTTTAAACAAAACAATTGCGCAGTTTTCCTGGTAGCGCCATAAAGTTCAAACTTCTGCTAGAAGAAGGGGAAACGCAAGCAACGAGAATCCGAGGGTAAAATCACGGGTTTGCTCAGGACTTCTTCGCCTCTCACCCTCCACTGCATTTGAAAACCACACCTCACTATGTCCAACATTCTCCAAAGATTACGAGGTGGAAACCTCGAGGTTTTCAAGGTATTTTCTTGATCAATTCAGCTGTCCGCTATCTCTGGAGCTTGACTCTGACCGTTTTAGTTCGGCATGTACGTTCTTTTCCCGATTGGATGGATGTATTATTTCGGAACAAACCTCGACGACCGCTTCAGTGTCCCCGGCTTCTGGCCTACTACCGAACAGTCGCATAAGATTCCTCTCGAGAAGGAAGAGATTGACAAGGAACTTGCGCGAATGCGCATGGTGGATGCTGTTCGGCGAGAGAAGCGGCAACGGGAGGCCCAGGCCCAGGCTGAAGCCCACATGCAGGCTGAGAGTCAAGCACAGAACGCGGAGTGAAATTGTTGAAGATTATGGACACGGGTTTACGGTAAAGTCCTGGGACTACGTTGGTCGAAGATAATGGCGGGGGCCGGTTCTATACGAAAGGAAGCGCGCTGCCTTTCCGCGGGGGCTAGAGTGGCATGGGAGCCCGACAAAAGGTTGGTGGAGTTATCATGTGGCAGTTGCACGTGTACTACTGTTTATGTTGTTCTTGTTTAACACTCTTCTCTGGGCATGTCGGGAGTTGAATTCGGTTCTAAAATGGGCATCTAGTTTTTGGTTACGAGTTTTATTTCGCCTGTACATTCTTTCGCTACGATAGCGTTTTAGTCCACGGTTCTGCAGGACTATGTCCTAGTATCGTTTGTTGGTTAAAAATAATGGTTACAGTCCTGGTATCACATAATACCAAGTAAACAGGCGCTTATAAAGGTATGGTAATATGGTCGACTTGGGGCATAGAGTTATTATTTCCACAGCGATGGTATCTTGGGGGAAAGAATTAAGCTGACTTCGCTGTTAAGGGTATTTCATCGGAACAGTAATAATCAAGGCTTCGCTGCTATGAATGTTCGGAACCCTGAAGGCCAAATTGCAGAAAGAGCGAAGAATGCACACAAGAACTCCTAAGATGCGCCGGCCTGCTCAGGAACAACTCGCTCAAACTCCGTATGAACAACGTCACAACGCCAGCATGGAAAAGGTGCGTCCAGACATCGCAGGCAGTGCTGCTAAGCTGAGACCTCAACCCATGCTCAAGGACCAGAAATGCGTAAGAGGTGGAAAGGTAGAAATTATTCCAAGGTATGTTGATAAGGGCATCACACAAGAGATGGCGCCGATGGGATCACGCTTGAGTTGTACAGAAACCGGATAGCCACAATCCGCCACGGCCCAGACAGGAGAAAGGAAAAAGGATAGGATCGCTCGCCATTGCCAACAGTCAAGAAACTTATAATTCGCGGATCGTATCGGTGGCAGCAGCAGCATTATTTTTGCTGTCTCGTACATGACCTCTAGCGCCTGGGTGCCGGTCTCGCGGAATACCGAGCTGATTGATGGCAAGGCGGAGGATATGAAGGGACGTTCGCCAGCCCAATAATAGTAGAGGTGGCCGTAGATGGACCTGATGTGATCGGGGAGGTAGACGTAAATAGCGGTGATGATCATTGAGATCAGTGTAAGGAGGAGGGAGTCTGTTTTAGTTTGTTAACGCGATTCCTTCGTTCTCCAATGGCCTTTTTCTTTTGAGTGAGCATACTAAAAATGAACTTTTCGGTTGGTGTGAGCATGTATACAGCAAAAGTCACCTCATACTGATATATTTTCAGCCGAATCCAACGGGCGAAAGAGGCTGGGATCCAGAGGAGGGCCATGATCGTAATGCAATGTTCGTTGTTTGCGACAGAGGGATTGAGCGGGGAAAAAAGATGCCACTTCAGGAAAGTTGGAGTTTACAGGCCGAGTAGCAGAGGGCGCTTCTTGGTCGAATTTGCCCCTGAAAGTACGGACCTTTTTCAACCAAAAATGAAAAATGCCAGGGGAACGGGAAGTAAGGATCAGACTGAATTGAGGAAGTAACCACGTGGTATTTTGTGTGTTGCCGGTGAGAAACAATTGTTTGGAAAGATAATGGTTACCAGGCATGCATAACTATAATTATCCTTATGAACTTTCCGGGAAGGGGCAGCAAAGTTGAAAAAGGTAAGATTGAAAAGAAGGGAGGGGGGGGAAGAAAAAGAAAAAGAACCGATGCAGGTTTGATCGACAAAAAGCACCCTGTCGGTCTACAGAAGCTAAAATGATTGAATAGCAAATAAAAAGGTTGTCAATGCGGGGGAGATAACAGAAAGGATGTTTAGTTGCATGTCAAGATGCATTTAATTTTTTGTTCACTATGAAATTATGAAGGTTCATTTTGACTAAGAATAGCTTCAGTGCAAGACCAACAAACTTCTCACTTTCGGCTCCGAACGGTGTTTCATGTTGGGGGGAAATCCACCGACTGAGCCACAATCCATGCATTGGTGGCATCTGGAATTGGGCTCCACTTCAGGGTCCAGAGCACCCACTGAAAGTCTGAATCGACTTGTCTGTCTAGACCCTCCTCCACCACAGAGAATGAAGGCAAACAAAGAAAAAAGATGGAAAAAATAAAAAATAAAAATAAAAATAAATTGCTAGCTAGTATTAGTAAACGAAAGGATACTGAATGTTTCCTCTAATCAGTCACGAATTGAATTGCTCTTTCTTTTGTCTCTGAACTATGCGAACCTTGTTTCGTTGTCATCACACAGACCATTCTGTAAAAAAAAAAAAAAAAAAAAAAAGAGAGAAATAAAGAAATAAAGAAATACAAAAGAGACTTTCTCAATGTCCTTTTGAAACCCACCCGATGCGTACGTCACCCTACGCTTGGCGCATTTTCAAAGTACTAGTGATAAAGGGTTCTTGATGATCCTGCACATCATACGGGATGATTCATCAGCAGGTTCATCAGCGATGACGATTGTAGGAGAAGGAGGGACCAGCCATGTATGGTAGTATTATAGCCGGCAATGTTATGAGAAAAGTCCCCATAGTATCCTGATCAATATTTCGCTGTGGATTGTCCTCTGCTGCCTGAGGCATCAATGTCCTCTCGTACTCGTATCCTGCGTGCTGGTATCACACTAAATCGTAATGGGACTAGTTCGTCTGCGAATTCGCTGCAGTTCTGGCCGAAATCTCGAAGTGTATGTATTGTAATATGGTAATACTGGAACCTCTCGCAGAATGCCAAAACAGTAGCCATCATGAACCATGCTACTACTACGAACCCTCGTCCCGCGTAATCTCGTCCCATATACCAAACCCATCGCCCCTCTTAGACCCTTCACAACCACCTTTCATCTTACCGATAAGCCATTACCGCCCCGGCTAAAAATTGACGATGCCGATCTGACCATTTCATATCTCAAGGGCACTGGCCCTGGAGGTCAAAAGATTGTACGCCATTGACTCAATCTCTCATCTAAATCGGTATTGGCTAATCGCAATCGGTAGAATAAAACCAACTCTGCCGTTCAACTCATCCACAAACCTACCGGTCTCGTGGTGAAATCACAAGCCACTCGCTCCCGTTCCCAGAATGAGAAGATCGCGCGACAAATTCTCGCCGATAAAGTGGAGCAGGCAGAGAAAGGAGACCAGAGCCGTGCGGCGATCAAAGCTGATCGTGCTCGGAAGAAGAAGGCTAGTAAGGTGAAGAAGAGCCGGAGAAAGTATCGCGAACTGGGGAAGGGTCAGGAGGAAGTGCAAGAGCAGGAGGATCGTGATGGTGAAGAAGGCCATCAGGAGCTGGTCGGCGATGTCTCGTCAAAGCACGCCCCGCCAAACTAGGTGCAGGTCAAATGATTTATCAATATTATGACGGCACGGCCTACAGACTTATAGATATCCTCCTTATGTCAGACCTTTCTACTCATCGTTAGTCTACGAGGTAAAAATCGATATTCACAGTCAACAGGACGGTATTGTAAAGAATAATCTCGCATATAGAAGAGCGAGGGAGAGCTTTGTTTCATCTAATAACATTTCGTAAAGGCATATTCGGTCTTTTCCCTCTTTTTTAAAAAACTTTCTCTTTTTTGCTTTGAGGTATCAAGGCTAGTTTTCCCGGGCTGTTATACGGCCGGTACCGACTGACTACCTTAGGGCAGGGTAACAATAATTCCTCAGAGACTACCTAAGACTTGCTCCACTTCAGCCAATGTAGCTGCCGAGGACTGTCTTGGCTTCGTCGCTTAGACGCTCCTGTGCAAACCCAGAGATCCGTCCATTAGACTTCTTGTCGGCTTCCTTCAGATATTGGCCAACCCAAGCCTTAAGGTCGCCTCCGGTCTCCGGCCACGGGTCCTTGGTCTGTGGGCGTACGGTGTTCAGAGCCGTGAACCCTACACCGAATGCCATATCTTCAACATCATGTTCAGCGATAATGTCGTCCTTGCTCGCTGGGAGGGGAGGGAGTTCAAGAAGTTTAAGCAAGGCTTCACATGTAAAGCCCCACCCCTTCTTGTACCGGGTCGCAAAGGCATCGGAATTAGCAAGCGTCTTGGTGAATGACAGCACTGCAGTTTTGCGATCCAGCGGACGAGCAAGCTTCTGCGTGTCAGGGAGAATTATGTTCAGATAGATCGGAGTGAACAGGCTTGATAAAGTCAGTATGGTGAAGGTATCAAAAAACAACTTTCTCGGGGCCCACGTACTCAGATTGCACTTTATCTGTGACCTGAATGAAGAAATCGGCGCTGTAGCCCTTCTCATCATGGGCAGAAATGAAATGGTAGAATCGGACAAATCTGCCAGTGAGATTTTCTGTCTTCGAATTCTGGAGGCGAGTAAGAATGACTTGCATGATCGAGATGAAGTACTGCTCCAGCGCGTTTCTGTGGTAATGTTAATGGGCCTGAAAGAAGTCGAACCCTTATGGCAGTTAACTTACGGAGGGAAATTGGCAACAACGGACTCTAATAAGTCAAAACCATAACTTTCATTCGCCTTAGTGGAAAGCAGTTTCTGGAAGATACCCAAGACATTCGAAAGCTGTTGGTTCTCCAGGATAAATTGAGAACCGCGGGCAATGATAGACGAGAGGAGTCGCACGAGCGCAGGGATGTTGCCTTTCGACTCCCACATGACAGGCATCAGGATAGGGGCAACCAGATTCTGGTAGTAATTTGGCAGCGATCCCGAAGGGTTGGCTTCGAGAAGTGCCGCAAAGAGCTGGAAGATGTAGGGCATGAATTCTAAACATATCTCAGTACTTAAGAACCAAGTGATGGCCGAGTTATAGTCATCCTTACCTTGCACATCGCCTTGGAGTACTCCGGCGAAGGGAGGATATAAAGCTTGCTCAAGCTTATCGGGATTCGCCGGGGCAGCAAATCTATGATTGTCAGCAAATGCATAGTGCTAGAGGAGTTTTCGGGGCCGAAGTACCTGATAAAGGCACCCAGAGCTTCAAAGTGGAAGTAGTAGAATCTTGGGTTGCTCGGGTTCCTGCTGATGACCTCGGTGATGTTGATCAAATTTTGCAAAACAGAGTCTGTATGGGGTACGACGTCCTCCTTGATAACAATGAGTACCCGCATAGCACATTTCATCAGGAACTCGTTCTCCTGCACTTTTTCGGGGGCCGGATCCTTCTGGATCAACGCAAAGATGTGCTCTAATAAATCCTTGGCCAGAGGCGTAATTGTGTTGGGCGCAATGATTGGCTGACCCTGGTTATCTGTAAGGTAGAGTGCTCTTTCAACAGCAATTGCTGCATAACTGTAGACCACGTAGTTCGAGGAGCCCAGGTGATTGACCACTAGAGGAAGCACTTCTTGCCATTGCTCTTTAGTGATGATGCTCCTGAAAGTATACAAGTATTTGATCGCATCGACTTTGAGAATGGGATTCACATCATCTCCAGCCACTAGATCTGCAGCAAGATGTTTCTGGAGGTAATCAGTGATGCTGACCAACGAATTAGTTGCAGTCACTCCGTGGCTAGCGGTAGCAACACCCTTTGCTGCAATGGCAGAGAAGAGGTAAGTTGCGGTATCCTTAGCCTTCCAGTTGGAAGCCGGATCGCTGGTGTATTGAGCAAGGTGGCCTTCGGTGTAATGCAGAACAACCTTTGTTACGGAGCTTTCGAATTTCTCGGCCAACTTCCTCAGGAAATCGGTGGCAGCACGTCGTCTTGTCTCGCTATCTGATCCTTCAAGGTCTCGTCTGATAAACTCAATGGGTTCATCCTCAAATAGCTCCTCATCTGACTCACGCAGACTCACGTTGGGCAGAATGACCTTTTCAATAACTTGGCTCAAAGTGTTCTCATCTTGGAAAAAAGCGGCCTGTTCAGGCATACCCGCAATTGAAGTCAGGAACTGGAGTGCCCTGCTAACCAAAATGTCGTACTTTGTTTCTTGGCCGATTGTAGCCAAGAAGCTCCAAGAACTACCCACAAACTGTTCGACATGAGGCTTGAACTCATCCATATACTTTTGTACCCAGAGTGTCAGGACTTCAAAGATTCCAGCCCGCACAAATTCTAATTGGCCAGCCTCGGTGTCGTCATCGGTATGAAGCAGCTGGTTGTCGTACGTGAGGTACTTGAGCAGAAGAGTAGCTATCCCTGAAATTTGCTCTTCGAACATCGGAGGAAGGTCGTGGCAAGAAAGATCATACAGAAGTTTGATCATCAAGTTGAATTGTGTGAATCCCTGGACAAGGTTGTCCTTATTGGTCTTGTGTTCTTCGAGATATGAGTCGAGGCCCTGTATAGGAGGATACGTATTAGTAACCACCGTTGATATTTCTCATAGCCCTGCTCAATCGAACCGAGGCGCGATTTTAATAGTCATACCTCAAAGAGAGCCAAGAAAGGGTTTCCGAATTTATCTAGAACGTGATTGATCTCTCTATAAAGATCATCGGATCGGAACAGGGGCCTCCATCGCTTGAAGATAGAATGGGCAACTTGCAGGACACCGTTGTTGACTGCAGGGTTTTTCGGTTGGAGTCTTGAGACGAGATCCTGCGAGTGTCAATAGAGGGAGGTAAACATACGCTGCTTTTGTACAATGAAAGCTTACATCCACTAGAGTATCCCATCGCTCCCAGAAGTCACTATCGGCGATCACACTCACAGCTTCTCCCAACTGAGACTGTATGCCCGCAGGAACCGAGATCATCAAGCTGATCAGTTCCTGCTTTATGGTCGTCACCTCATCGAGTTGAAGCTTATAATTTCCATCTTCGTCTGTGTAGTTTCGCTTGATAAAATTTTTGAAGCAAAGTGCACTGGCGAGACGGGTATTGTAGGGATAGGAACCGGACGCCGTGATTTGAAGGAGCTGCAAGGAATAGCCGGGCTTTTGTTCTTCCTGACGCAGAGCAAGTTCGGCTAATAAGATCAGCCATTGGGCGTTCATAAGAAAATAGACAGCATGAAAAGATTCTGGGCTTACCTTGCTTATTTTGCCTCGGGTCCAAGCTTGCTTCTAGAAGCTGCGCAACAGCTCCAAGGTTGTCAGCCATATTGAAGCGGGGATAAGTATGCGTAATAGCGGATATGTAGCCAGTGAGGTCGTATGAGAGAAAAAGAGAACTAATTTAAATGTGCAAGAGAGATATATATCGTAATGTGGGTAGAATCCTCAGAAACCACCCTTTTGTGAACGCTTTAAGAAAAAAAGCTGTGAGCTTCATTCCAGGACGGGCAGTTTGTTTGGCGGGTTGCTTTGCAGTTTCCAGGCGGTGAGCAACATGTCCGCGGGGTGATTCTGCCCATCAGGTGATTTCACGGATTAATCGTATCCGAGTCTCCGCCAGATCATCATCATGGATGCTTGGAGGGGAAAGGTGTCTTGGCACACTTTCGTTCTGGAGATAACCTACTATCTCTAATTCTGTGCGCTTCCATGTCTTTTTAAGGATGTTTCTTTGACTTGACTATAAAAAGCTGTGCTTGTTCTTACTTCACTCGGGGCCCTCTCTTGGTATAGAATTGTGCTTATTCAATTAAGACACAGACCATTCCAACCTGCTATCCGCCTTATCAGGGTCAAGCTTCATGTTCCTACCAGGTCTCCTGATGTTGTGAACATCTTCATGTGATCTGTCAATGGTACGTAAACTTCCGCCTTATGTACTTGAGTGATGTCACAGTTGGGATTGGTCAGCTGGATATTGTAAAGTGTGAACTCCGGTCAGGTTCTTGCTCTTGCTGATTCATTGATCTTCAGGTATAAAATCGGTTGACTTAGGCCTATATCCATACTTCCGTCCACTAGGACGTATGTCTTCTGACGATGCTTCATCACCTTCCAATTATAAACACGCAACATCTAGTTTCGCAGACGTTTTTAGATCATTAGGCGTTGCCCGTTCAAAATCGCTTTCGCCAATCTCAGTGAGAGAGAACAGTGATACATTGTCGCAGGCGTCGGATGGACATAGGAATAGCTGGATTTCTCTTGGGCTTGAATCAATGCATCGCGGCAGTGTTGTTTCCAGCTCTTCAGACGCTTCTGGTGCGCCAGATTTCGAGACGTCTATAAGGAGCTTGGCTCAGAAACAAAACTTAGCTCATGCGATCGACGAGGCAGAGCAGGTGTCAAAGTCACTTCACTGGTTTACTTCCGAGCAATCTCTAGCTCTGTGGGAGGCAGGCTCTCATCTGATTCATCATGCGACCTCCCCGGAAGCCCGGAGAAGTGGCTCCTTGTTAATGGAGCTATCGCAGCGCGCCAAGACCTATCTCCAGCTGCAAGAAGAGCGCTCTTTGAGTTGATATCATGTCCCTCGGAGTCCGACGTAGTGCCTGCGCGTGTGGTCTCGCTGATCTCCCTTTCCGATCATGGAAGGAAATTAGATTTCGCTTCTTCATCCATTATTCCAATCATCTCGTCATGTGTGGTCCCGCTCTATG